ATGACTTCAATCTCTGGCCATTTACTTTAAATCGATGGCTCGTTTTGTCTTCAATTTACACTCGCCATGTGGAAAAATTTCAGTCACTTTATAAGGTCCGAGCCATTTTGATTTCGGCTTACCTGCAAAAACTTTAAACTTGGAATTAAACAAGAGAAATGTTTGCCCAACAACAAATGATTTAAAAGAAATCTTCCTGTCGTGATATTCTTTTAATTTTTCTTTAAATATTCTAGTGTTGTCATAAGCATTCCTTCGGATTTCTTCCAACTCCTGAATGTCTAATTTCCATGCTTCCACGCTTGTTTCCAAATCCATGTTGCACTGCTTAATCACCCAATAGGCTCGATGTTCCAACTCAACTGGCACATGGCACAACTTACCAAAAATGAGTCGATATGACGATATCTCAATGGGACCTTTATACGCAGTTCTGTAAACCCATAATGCGTCGGAAAGCTTCAGGCTCCAATCCTTCTGATTTGGCTTCACAAATTTTTCAAGAATCATTTTAATCTCGTGATTCGACACTTCGGCTTGCCCGTTCTTCTACGGATGGTAAGCAGTGGCAATCCGCTGAGTTATCCCAATTTTTTTCATGAGGGAGTCAATCACTTTATTGATGAAGTGGGTTTCTCGATTGCATATTATTGCTCGTGGTGTCTCAAACCTGAAAAAATAGAATTTTTCAAAAAAATTAGTAATAGTTTGGGCATCATTATTTTGGGTAGCCTTAGTTTCTACCCACCTAGAAATGTAATCAACATCCAATATGATATAAACATTTCCAAATGAAGAAGTAAAAGGGCACATGTAATCGAGTCCCCACACAAAAAAATTTGACAAACATGAATTGGGTTTTGAGGTAATTCATTCCTCCAGCTTAAATTCCATGCACGTTGACATTTCTCACAAGATTTACAAAATAGCATAGGCCAAAAGAAACTATATTCTAAAATCTTACGAGCAATACGCTTTGGTCCAAAGTGACCACCACATGAATAAGAGTGATAGAAAAGTATAGAATTTACCTCTTCCTTAGCAACGCAGCATCTAATAACTTGATTTGAGCATTGTTTCCACAAATAGGGATCATCCTAAATGTAATATCGGGATTCCCGCTTTAACCAATTAATTTTAGACTTAGGTAAATCTAAGGGTAATTTACCTGTGGCTAGATAATTTAGTATGTCCGCATACCAAGGGACTGATTTTTGCACCAACAACATAAGATGCTCCTCTGGGAATTCTTCTCGAAGCGTGGATCGATTAAGGAAAGCAAAATATGACTCAAATGATCTGCAACAAGATTCGTGTATCCCTTCTTGTCCTTTATCTCCAAATTGAACTCTCGTAAGAGTAGGATCCATCGAATAAGCCTTGGTTTCGCATATGCACAAGCCGAGTGATGTTCATGGGAGAGATGTAAAACGCATCCTTCGTTATTTGAGTGGCACTCTAACTCAAGGCCTGGTGTTTAAGAAAGTACATTTATTCAATCTGGTCTACTATGATGATGTCGATTGGGCATCTTCTGTTGAGGATAGAAGTTCCACAACAGGATATTGTATCTTTCTGGGATCCAAGCTATTTACTTGGTGCTCGAAAAAGCAAGCAGTTGTTTTCAGGTCTACCTCAGAGGCAGAGTATCGCAGCATTGCAAACGCTATGTCTGAACTTGTCTGGGTAGAGCAAATGCTGAAAGAAATTGGTGTGCAGCTGTCTGGTATTTATGTTGTATGGTGTGACAACACATCTACTGTTTCTATGTCAACAAATCCAACTCATCATGCTAAAGTGAAGCATGTGGAAATTGATTATCACCATGTAAGGGAGAAGGTTCTTCTCAACAACTCATGGTATACTATGTTCCTTCCTCCGAACAAGTTGTAGATGTTCTTACAAAGCCAATTCCCCCATCTCAGTTTGAGAATATGCGAAATAGACTTGGAGTTTTGTCTATCGAAGAAGTTCAGAGGAAAAGTAAACCAGGAGAATGATAGGAGTATGATAAAGTAGTTATATCTGTCAAGTTGTTATAATTTTGTGGGTCCGGTTGTTAGATGGTTAAGTGGGCTTCTCTATATACGAGTAAATGTTTTGTATTGTATTGGGCATGTGGCTTTTGTATTAGATCACGTTTTATGATAATTACTTGGCCTTTCTTCTTCATCTTTTGCTTACTATGTTGTGTTTCATTCTTCTCTTAGTTAGTTTACTTTCTTCATATCAGAGAAAATCTAGGTTTTTTACAGTTTGAGTATTCATTGTCAAATGATTGAAAATATTTCAATCAATATTATGTACATATATTTGTTCAATTCAGTTATAACGTTCCAGGCATCATCGTAAAATATTATGTTAAAGTGTCATTCGTCAGACTTCACTCTTAAATGGCATGGTACCACTCGCGACCAATTGTCTAAATTTTATTTTTCTCTAAAAAATTAATTATAATATTTTTAAATTCAGTTTAATATTTTTTTACGGTTAAAAAATATTTTTGATATTTATTTTGAATATAAATTTAGTAAATGAAAATGAGTTTTAATTCGAATGAGTTGAAGTTGAAGGGAATCGATCCTAATTGGATTAGAGGATCAAATTGTGAAGTTATGAGAAATTAAAGTTGTGGACTAAATTACAAAGGTGTTAAATTTGTAATGTTGCATGGTAATTAGACCATTAAATAGGATATGACTAGTTATCCATATTAAGTGTCATTTGAACACAATTTTGTTTATTTTCTTAATTAAGGAAAAGACTAAAGTAATGAGCTTAGGGTAAACTTGATAATTAGAGGAAAGAGAAAGGATTAGCAAGTCTTTTTCTTCATTTGGAGTCCTCCATTGCTAGTTTGCTACCAATCTCTACAAGGTTATGGCCATTTCGGATGAATTTTTAGCTTTTTTTCCAAGCTTGTAATTAAATGTGCTCACTCAAAGACTCATTTCTAGGTGACTAATCATAATTCAAATTAATGCAATTTGATTTCAAAACCCTAAATTTAAGAGTTCAAGATAGGCTTTCCAAATCCCAAATTCAAATTCATATATGAAGTCTTTAGGCTAATACCTGTTAGTGTTTCATGGGTATATCTATCTATCTATCTATCTATATATATATATAGAGAGAGAGAGAGAGATCCATGAAGGTTTGGTCTTGATTGACTAAACCAGCAACCTCCTTTGGAGGCACATGATAGAGCACCACTCCTATCAAACGTCCCTTGGCCAAGCTAGCAAGTTTATCGGTCACCTTATTGATCTCCCGATAAATATGATTGATTGTCGTTTCCCAGTTCTTATTCAATATCTCAAGAATCATCTCGACAATCGTACTTCCACTCCTGGTGCTTGACAAACAAGTGATTGCCTCCACTGACATGAAACAATCTGTTTCAACCTCATCTTTCCTGAAACCAAGATTCCAAGCATAAGAGAGTATATCGTATATCGCCCAAAGTCCAACATTTTCCAAGGCGTCAATTGAAACCAAAAATCCAATTACCACTAGCATCCCGCAAGACACCCCCAGCTGCAGCCATGTTCCCAGCTCCTCTTATTGCTCCATCAGCATTAGCTTTCACCCAATTCGGATTTGGCCTATTCCATCTCACCAATGTCCGATACATTGGTCTGCCACCAGGTGTATTAACCACACTAGCAACTCTTTCATTTCTCAGGCGAAGACAGTGAGCCATGATGTCTCCGCGCTCCTTATAATTGTTTTGAAAAACTAAACTGCATCGCCTCTTCCAAATCTTCCAACATATAACTGCAAAAAGAACTGCCCCATCCCTTCCATTAATTGGGAGTCGCCCGTTACCTTTGAGGTTCATCATCAACCATTCATCATGTTGCATAGTGATAAAATCTGAAAACTCACCATTGTGTACAACTCTTCTCCATAAATCAAATGCAAATGGGAATTGACGAAGAGCGTGGGTAATGTCCTCGTCCTCGGTAAGGCATAAAGGACAGCGAGCTGAAACAGTAATATGGTGACGCTGACTTGTTGTGCTTACGTCATAAGTGAATTAGATGATGATATATCATCGAAAATAAATTTAAAATTTCACGATAACAAAATATCTTCTAATTTATTGATGGTGTATAGAGCAATGCATGAAATACTAATCCAAACTTTTTTGTCTTTCTCATCCATAATACTAAAACTTGAAACTTTATTTAAAAGGACATCAAATTCGTTATTTCTCAATTTTTTTAAATGATTGTAATATACAAGTTGTTTAGAACTTTTTTAAATATTGTTTTACACATCTTATAAATACATCTATTCGAACTAAATCTTCTAAAATTAACAATATTTCATTTCATCATGCAATGGCATGTCTGCGGATTATTCCAATATGATACTCATTAAAATCCACAGTAATTTGATTAATAGATTTAGTAACTATCTTTTGAATTAGGATTGAAATTGACCTAAAAAATAATTAAATCATAAAATAATAAACAAATTCCCTATCCGAACCCTATTTTATAAGGTCAAATAGTCCTATTTGTGAAAATTAAGGATGGGTATGGATCAAATTCAGATCGGATTTTGGTTAATCCTATCACACCCGAAAATATATGTCCTCTATTCGAAACTCGATCCGACCCGAGTTTAAGAGTGACTTCACCCGACCTAACTTTTTGATATAAAACCCGAACTTGACCCGAATTTAGAGGTGACTTCACCCGACCCGACTTTTTGATATAAAACCCAAACCCGACCCAAAATAAATATAAAAACATTATCTTTATTAATAAAAATAATGATCTAATTAAAAATAATAATATATAAAGGATTATTATTACAATTATCCCTAAAAATATAAGGTAAATTTAAATTATTTTCGGGTCAAGTACTTTTCCCCTTAAACCACATATCCTCTAAAAATTCTCTATAATACCCGACTCAATCCAAACCCCTAATTTTTTTTTTAAAGAATATGATCCGATTGGGTCGGATCGGGTCCTGTCCCTAGAATGAAAACCACATATTTTGATATTTTCCGAGAAAAGAAAATATGTTTCTATTTCGATCTGTGGACGTGAGATGATACGTTACATTAGGACTATGTTTGAACTAATCTTTCATATGATGCTTGCTGATTTCTTGTGAATCTTTACCGTCCGTATTCCTTCGAAAACTTCTGCAAGCTTCACCGACTCCGATTTCCACTGGGAGTTAGAGTTGTTCCCGTGTTTGGTTTCGAGAGGAAAGCTCGAACCGTCGTCGTCGTCCTTGCCCGATATGAATCTTTGATATCCGTAAGAACTCAACTCGCTGCAAATTTTCTCTACATCTTTGGCAGGTTCATCATCCAGGCTTCTCCATCTCGGTACATCCAAAGAGGTTCCAGATGAACTCTGAGACAGAGTTGCAACCCTCTCACTCCGGCTTCGGAGCATCATACTCGAACTCCAAGCTGAAGGACCATCAACATATGGATCGTCGGTTTTGATTATTGATGAAGCCTGGGTCAAAGGATGACTGCCTTTGCGCCGTATTAGTCTCTGAAGATTCTTGAAGAACTTCTTTTTACCCGAATTGGTTGATTTCGTAGTTGACGACTTCTCAATCGAAGAATCGTCGAGTTCTCGAGTTCCGGAAGCTTGGGAAGAAGACCATCTATCAAAATCGAAATCCATGCTATCCATCCCACTATGTCCCATTCCTTCTGTATGTGCATATTCATGTATTAGCCTTTTGGCTTTCGCCTCTGATTTCGGACTTAGGCTTTGACTTAGATCTCTAGCAACTGGTTCACCAGTAGGGGGTTGATAATTCCTCAGCTCGTATCGCAAACAAGAATTGATCCATCGGAGATACACCAATTCTTCGACATCATCGCATCTATTCGATTTCATCTGTTCGATTTGCTTTGTCAAGTCTTCATTTTCTTGCCTCAAACGGTTGGTCGTTTCATTGATGGCTTTTCTCTGCAACCAAATGCACCCGGAAAAACAAATCCGAAATCAATAATAATATTAGTAACAATGTAAAGGAACAGGATTCACAAGAAATTAATTTAAACTACCTCAGCATCCTCCAAAACAGAATTTGCAAGGATTTGAGTCGATTCCAACTTCCGAGCCAGTTCGGAATTTTCTATCTGCAATCTCGTATTCAATTCCCTCAACTCTTCTACCTCACATTCCAAAACCTTTAGCCTCTGTAACTTCAATTCTATATCCGGATTATTTGTTGGGGCCTCGAGTTCTTGTTCTTGCAATCTAGAAACCCTCTTTTGAAGGTTTATGATATGCTCTTTATTCATCTTAGCCTCATGCTTAAGTTTCTCCTCAAGCACCTTGATTTTAGATCTCGCACTTTCAAGCTCGGCGACGGCTTTTGCATGATCTGCGACTTGGCCCTCTAATAGTTGTTTCTCCGACCGTGAGGACTCGATCTTGAGGCGGAAATGTTTAGCCTCCGTATTGTTTATCTTCAGTCTGTTTCGGAGCTCCGAAACAGCTGTTTCTTGTTCTTTAAGACCATAATATTCGAGCAGCTGGAACTCGAGATTCTGCACCTTTTCCCTAAGCATTCTTACCGTATTTCGTAACTGCTCAATCTTTTGCTCATAACCATCCTTTTCGACGGTTCTAAACGCTCTCAAAGTGTCAAGCTCTGACCTTGGTGTTCCGACTTCCTGCTTCGGAGAAGATCCAACGACGTCGGAAAAGTCGAATTCCTCAACGAGATCATCAAATTGTGTCAAGAAAAACACATCTCCGTCTTGTCTAACGCTCTGGGAATCTATCATTTGTTGCTTCAACACCTCTTCCTGCCGGAGAGAAATCGAAAGATCAAATTCATGAAATCGAATTGATGCAAGCATATAATCAAATTTCGAAAACAAGCAGCATCAGCTCATATTCAATGCCCTAACCACTTGGACACTAAGTTCACAAATGCTATGAAATCAAAATGTTTTAGCACTAATCTTTAACAGCTTACATGGTCTGAAGTTGGTGACGTCTTTAAGGCACGGATACCGCCTCTACTTCGATCGTTCTCACCGGAATCAACCTCTCCGTGACCATCTGCATAATCAAAACAATACCAAAGTTCAACATTCGCAATGTCACAATCGATGATCCATAGTATCAGTCATATATAATCTGATATATCGAAATAGCATCCATTAAGTCAGCACCTGAAACACGATTTAGGGTTTTAAATCGAGAACAAAGAAACCCAGCAAAAGAAAGAGCAACAGCAGCAAATCCAAACTTCACCAAAAGAGGCTTCGAATCTCTCTGTTCTTCATCGTCATCTTCCATCTACATAGTCAAAAACTCAAAATTTATATAGCTAATAATTAATTCTATATGAACAGAGATAAAATTAGCTCGAATTCAAACCCAGAAACTAAAAAAGAAATTAAAATGAAAAATGAAGTAAGGATCGAGAAAAATAATAGAAACTCATTTTTGTAAGAGAAACAGAGAACTTACTATTAAAGGAAGAATCCTCAAGAACATCGAAAGAAAAAAAAAAGCAAGACTTGTTTTGACTTGTCTTAAAGCTTTTCTGCTATGATTTTTTTTTTGGGATTGCTGTCTATAGATCAACACATAGTTCATAAAATAGTTGTTTGTAAATGAAAATATGATGATACTGTATTGCATAAATTACTGTCTGGGGGTTCGAACAAAAAGAAATAAGTGTAAACCATCTTAAACTATCTTAATGGTCACTTTCATTTCACTTTTGTTCAGTTTTGGAAATTGAATTTAAAAAAATAATATTTTGATCGCTTATGCTATGTACATATAAAAGATTTAAAATTCCAAAAGCACCGGTGATCAAAATGATGATTGATATTTTAAAATATCTTAGATTTGAGCACCAAACGTTTATTGTCAAATAATTAAGAGTCTTCAGAACTTATACTACCACATGTAATCATCCTATATTAATAAAAGAAAATTTCCGAAAAAAACATAAGGTAATATATATGACAACGTATTTTTTAATCATTCTGTGATTCAAGTTATAGATTTTTTTATAATATACATTTAGATGTTGTGTATCTATTTTTTAAAAGAATGTTAATCATAAATTTATTATTATTATAATTTAATTTTTAAAGGGAGTTAAAAGGTTCTAAATTAGATTTGTGAAATTTAAGATATTTTTTGTTGAAACATTTATCAGATTTACGTTTAAGAAATTAAAAAAAATTATAAATTTGGAATCTATCCGTCATCAATAACTAGGACGATGATAACCAACAATGACCAACAACATATGACAACATGAGACGCTGATTGAATTTAAAGATTAAATTAATATTATATTTTAATTTTAATTTTAATGATCAAATTAATATTTTATTTAAAATTTAGTAATTAAATTAATATTTCATCAAAATAAAAGTTCAATTTTTTTCAGCGTGTCACGTCACCTGGCATTTAACTTTCAATTATCAAAACGTTATAAAAAGATAATATAAATGATTAAAATGTCATTTTTTAAATCCAGTGACTAAAATGAAACACTTATAAAACTAAAGTCATCATTTCAATAGTTTACCCAATAAACAATGATGGTTGGGTGATTTCTTCTCCCGTCTTTATTACAAGTTTGAAAATTAGGTTGCCAATGATAAAAGACAGAGAGAGAGTCTTGGTCGGTTGGTCGTCATGCGGTGCTTGGTCTATTGAAATAGATCTGAAGTTAAAGTCAAAAAATAAAAAAATAAAACTTGAGAGCTAATGTTTACATGATAATTGAAGCAAGAACCCCAAGTTTTTGCACCTAAAAGCAGTAACTCAACAAAGCTGGGTTTCAAATTTCAGACTAATCCCCATGCTGAATAGCTCCTGGCACAATAGCTTAGCACCATATGGAACATTAACCACGACGATGTCGTCTCCGGACTGGTAAACCCGGCAGTAGGGCCCCCTGATTTTTCAGCCGCCAGCTACTGCCCGTTCGATATCGTTCGCGGTGTTTTTGCAATTCTGGCATACATGCATCTGGGATGAATCGCTGAGCGTGAAGAAGCGCTCACGCAAGTTGGCTGAGGCGCCATGAGCAATCAGGCAGTCACGTTCCATCTCACCAAATTTGATCCCGCCATAACGTTTCCGGTCAGCAACTGGCTGCCATGTAAGTGGGTGCACTGGTCCGGTGTTGCGAAATTTTACTTTGTCTTCCGACATGTGGACGAGGCGCTGGTAGAATGTTGGACCCATGAATATGAGTGAATGAACCATCTCGCCTGTACGACCATTGTAAACTCTCTCATTTCCCCATCTTGAAAATCCAGCCCTGTGACAGATATTCACCAAAGAAGACACAGCCATCATTGCAAGTAACACTAATTATAAGAACAAAGAATCCAATAATAATAACCGACAACAGAAAAGCACAACTTAGATATAACTGGTAAAAACAGCAAACCGAGCTCCAACAATATATCGGCTATAGCATATGTATAAACAAAGTGTGAAAAACATCATCCAATGCTCAGTGGGAAAAAGGGTCCACCTAAACAATTCTGGAACGGCTCATCTAAGATTTCAATAGTGAAACATGATCAATGCACAGTGAACATGCGGGTCAACTTGTTCAGGATTATCCATTACCTGTGAAGCTGTTCTGTGATGGCATCCATGGAGAGAGTGAGTGGAGAAAGGGGTTGCATATTTCATTGACCCACCGCAGGCAATCCCCTTTCCCAAAGCAGTCTCCAAGAGTTGACCCGGAGTTTGTCTTGTAGGAAATGCATGTGGGTTAATTACTATATCGGGAACTATTCCTTGAGTCGTGAACGGAAAGTTCTCGTGAGACTCCAGAAAACCAAGGACACCCTTTTTCCCATGCATGCTTGAGAACTTGTCTCCCAGACAGGGATAACGAACCTGAAAAATATATCAGAAAGGCAACCGATGAACGTCTAAAAGACTCGAATGCAGCAGATGCTATCTTGTGGAAAAAAATATGCTTAACACATCTCTTCCATTCACACACACACGAGTCAGTAATATTACCTGTCTCAGAGATACTACAGCAAAATTTTTACCATCATCATTTGAAGATAGAACAACTTTCTGAACCATACCTCTTTCGGTGTGCTTCAGTTTTACACCATGATCAGCTCCAGATTCGGCAAACCTCCCGATGACAATTCCACCAGACTGCAAGCTGTCACCAATATAAAGAAAACCGTCATCATCAAGGCTGTCCACACGTCCAATCTTACTTTCTATTTTTCCAAATTTTACAATATCTTCTGGTTTCTGCCTCCTCTCCTGAATTTCCGTGTTCTCTACTTCTGCTTTGTAACTTCTTACATGTTCGGTACGGAACATTCCACGCTCTATAGAAGCTCGGTTTATTACCATGGAATCCTCTTGATTGTATCCAAGACGAACATTGACTGCCACAATGGCATTCTGGCCGTTGTACAATTCTGGCTTTGGTTGCATTCTATTCTGACCTAGGGGATATCCTGATTTCCGAGACAATCAGCTGTCATTGTCTGAAAGAGTGGTCTTTGGGGATAATACATTCGGTGAGACAAAGTGTCAACCCTGATGTTTGGGTTTGTTGTAGAAAACCCAATGGCTTGTTGAGAATGTTTTGTGCCTGGTACAGAACTCTCCTCGAATGATCATGATTTGCGAATGGAATGGTCCCACAGCTTAAACTCAAAAGAAACGACATGTCAAGCTCGCAGTGCGTATACTTAACAGGTTGCGCCACCTCAACATCTGCAAAGAGGTACTTGATATCCCATGCTGTATGACAGTCCTCTTCTTCTTCGGCTGCAATTAGCTCAACTATCCCCTGGTCTAATAGGGACTGGAAGGTGTAATTATCTTTCCCCTTAAATGATTTTAGTTTGAAGAGATTCTCGACAACTAAAAGAGGCCGCATAATCCTCCCAGCATCTGAAAAGATGCGCACCTCTCCTTTATGCTCATCTCTTTTAACTTCCACCTACAAGTTAAAAATCATTACAAGAAAAGATGAGACCACTAATAAACCATAGGTGGTTAAAATTCTCCGAAACTCACCCAAGACGTACAACCTTAATAAAAACAAATTTTAGTTTAATAGTTCAAGTGGTTATCCTAGAAGCACACAACAAGAGAGGCATATAGAATTTAAAAAACTGAACAAGTTCAAAATCTAAGCATTCTATGTAATAAGATGGGGACCACCTGAAAAGGCAATTCTTTCCTACGTCGGTTTCTTCGAAGCTCAGCGGCAAAGGAAAGGGAATCTTCACAAACACCAACCCATTCCCCATTCAGAAAAACCTTATATTTCCCATCAACTGAGCTCGATGTATCGTTAACCACTTTCTCCATTCCAGAATCAAACAACTTATCAACTATGGGTTCCATTAAGTTCGTACTCACGAGTGCTGTGGAAGCCAGGTTTTTCACAAGCCCGCAATTTTCACCATCTGTAGTCGAGAGGAAGCAAACCTTTCCCCAATGAGATGGATGTCTGCATTAGAAAATTATATCGGAACCAAACAAACATTATAGCTGACAAACAACTCAACAAAACCAAATGTTCAAAAGATGAATCATTAATTTCATATTTCAAACCCTAATATATATATATATAAACAAGCTGATGTGGATGCCTTTATTGGAAAGCAATATCGGAGAAGGAAGGCAATAAATATATAGAGGGCAGAAATTAGAGTTTTATTTGTTTCCTCTATTACATTACGTTTTTACTTCCTTTATAACTTTAGTCTTGCCAGTCAAGATAGAAAACTACAGTGTTTTTATGTGGTATAATGACATCGAGATCAAATATAAGAAGTGATATACAGTGCGCAGCGATTCATTACCACACAATTGAACAAATCAAAAGCTACTAAACTCATTTTATCGGTATCACAAAGATATGAATATAGAAAAACTTTCATTGATTCAAGATAGATCCCCATAAGGCACAACAAATATTGAATATTTGAAGCAACAGATTACTAGAAATGATAGTCTTGATCAAACTTACGGGTATCTTGCATCTCCAACCTTTCCAGTGTATGAGACCTGCTGACGTGTTTTCCTCAAATCAATCATCGTCTGCAATGGATTTGCTCGTCCCAGATTCGCCACTACACCTGAAACTCTTTCCATCCTTTTAAGGATGAGACCATGCTCCAGTAGAGAATGCTCTAGAGAGCCCATTTGTAACTATGGAAGCATCCAGATAATGCTCAATTGGACAAACAGTACGGTCTGCATAAAGATCTCTCTGAAGTGATTTTGACATTCGCCTTCTTGCATGTGCAATGTGAACTTTCAGTTCACGCTGAAGCAACTCATCAGCCATCTCTAACCTCTTGTTCCGGAGATCATCTCTGTTGTCACTTTCTAAGACCATTGTGAGCTTGCAAAAGACACTTAACCATGTAGCCCAAGAAGCGAGCCTTTTGCTTGAAATCCTGCAGAGAGGGAAACATATACCTTCTAAGGCACTCTTCCGCACCTTCTTCAGCAGGAAATCTGGTTTCCTTGCG